TATGGATACCATCAACTTCTTCCCTCCCTGCTAGCACGTACTACATCTTACACCGAGAGATGGGGCCTAATTATCTTCCCTTTAAATCTAGGCTGGCTTTAGTTACTTGCTCAAACAAACAAAAATGCAGCAAATATGACTCTTGGGACTTTTAAGTCTACATCATAAGAATTCTTGTAGTTTCTGCCTAGGTCTTTTAAAATACTAGTTCTTGAAAAGGTCTTTATAATCAAGTGTTAAGAAAAACCTTGAGAAAGAGTACTTGGGGCCCAAGAAATAATTTCTAGATGAGATGACATTTAGAATGAAACTTAAAAGCAGCAAAAAAAATCGTTCAAGGGAAAGAAAAGCTATTAATGGCAGAGGAGAACACTATTAAGGGAACTACAAGCATCACAATTTTACTGGATTCAAATTATTGGGTGACAATGGTTAGAATAGAGACTGAAGAGAAAAACAAATGGCCATATCATGCAGTGTCATGAATAAGCCATTTTAAAGAGTCTGCACTTGGTCATGTAGAAGACAGAGAGACATTGAAGGCCTTTAATCTGAGAAGTAACTTGGCCAAATTAGTCTTTAAATCAACCATCTCAGGTCCTATGTGGACAATAAATTGCAGGTTGAAATACTGGTGATAAGGCAGGGGAAAGAAACCATTGGAATAATTCACATGATAGAAAATGAGGTCCTGACCTCGGTATGCATGGAGAAGTGGGAAGGATGTAGAGATAATATGGAGAAAAAATTAACAGAATTTTGATGGACTGAATGCAAATGAGGGAGGAATCAAGTGCGATTTCCATGCTTATTGCTTTGCAATATAGAGAAAATTGTGTTACAAATGAATATGATTGAGGAAAAATATTGATTTGAAATATTGAGTTTGAGGTGCCTGCAAAAATTAAGTTAGTGACATTTAGCAAACCTTGGGTATATAAATATCATGCATGACGGAATTAGGGTCAGAAAATCACTCATTCATTCATTCATTAAATCATTATTGATTAAGTGACTACCAGCTGTCAAGCACTACTCTAGGTGATTGGATTAGAGCAGAATATCAAACAAAGACACTTTATTAAATATATCGTAATAAAAGAGACAGTAAATAATCTACCTAAGAACAAAAATAACATAAATAGAGAATGATTGTGGTGTTATTTTAGATTGGGTAGTTAGGGGAGGTAGGGGTTCTAGATGGAAGTGGCTTAAAAGCAAGCAAGGTAGAAAAGTCACCTCAAGAGGGAATAGAAGAGAACAAGGCAAAAAATTGAAGTGTGGCATAGATGTACTTTCATAGACCAAGTATATTAGAAAGTGAATCAGAGATTATTTCATTTATCTAATAAAAGGTGAGAATTTTCTCAAGGGTTTATATAATCTGTTGATAATTCTTTTTATTATTCTAAGATAACTAAGTCCATCAATGTTAAATGATAGGTGAAAGTCAATATAGGTAAGAGAATTTTTTAACACAATGTAGTATCTCTGTAACGTTGAAGCAATATAACACATTGAGAATATATCTTACAAAAGAAGACTAATATAAGAAAAGTCATCTAATAATCTATTATATAACTAAGAATCTACTTTTGTAATATTGGGTATAGATATTTAAAAAGTTACACTTTTGGGGTGCCTGGGTGGCTCGGTTGATTATGCCTGGGAATTCATGGTTTCAGGTCAGGTCATGATCTCAGGATCTTGAGATGGAGCCCTGCGTTAGGCTTCACACTCATCAGGAAGTCTGCTGGAGATTTTTCTCCTTCTTCCTCCTCCACCCTTTACTACCCTCCCAACTCTCTCTCTAAAATAAATGAATAAATAAATAAATAAATAAAATAATTTTTTAAAAGTTACATGTTTGCCCTAGATATTACATATGTACACAATTTCATTTAAGCTTATTTTCATGCATGCCTCTGTAGATAGTATTGGTTAAAATGTGTGTAGTGCTTTATAAATCTCAGAAAAATTTTATACCTATTATTGACACGAGGGCTAACTTTAATTAGATACATAAATATCAAATATTTTCTCATTCATGTATTGAAAAATGTAAAATTTCTAAATCTATGCTATGCATCATATTTTATCATTTTGCTCTAAATTTCAGTTACCAATTTAAGTTACAGTAAGCAATATAAAGTGATTATGAAGACAAAAGTAGATACACCATTTCCTTCCCATCACAGAACTCTTTTGGATCGCTAATGGAAGAGCTTCTTGGGCTTCCTTGCAAGGAGAAATGATGTATAAATTGCTATGCACAGGTAAGATATGATATGGCCTATAATGTCATCAAATTAAATTATATTTTTCATAAAACTGATTTTATGAAGATGTACTATAAGAGAGCTTGATTATAAAACAAATGACTAAAAACAGTATTCAGAATTCCTTTTAGAAAAACTAATTTCAGTTCGTTCTGTTCTATTTTAAAGAGAGAGTGAAGTAGTAGGGTATTGGTGCATTTTGCTGCTTAGATACAGCTTTGTTTTTCACTGGTATGTTTAATAAAGTTTTTGGTTACTAAACTTGGTTGTTCTCTACAAAAGACAAGCTTTTCTTATGGCAATGTGTTCAAAGTATACTAAGGTCATCTGTTTTCATTTGTAACATAATTACCATACAGTGCATTCTTTAAGTGTTACCATCTTCCATCACATATTTTCTCTCAAAGTGCCACAGATGTTGTATTCTTATTAACTCCTTGTTACAAATGATGATACAGTGCCACAAAATATAGGGAAATAGAGAATTTTTTCAAAAGATTTTATTTATTTATTTATTAGAGAAAGAGTTGGGCACATGAGATAGAGAGACACACACACACACACAGAGAGAGAGAGAGAGGGCAGAAGCAGGGGAAGAGGGAGAAGCAGATTCTCCACTAAGAAGGGGGTCCAACTCCCAGGACCCTGGGATCATGGCCTGAGCCAAAGGCAGATACTTAACTGACTGACCCACTCAGGCAGCCCGAGAAATGGATATTTAAAGGGAAAAAAATGTGCCCATATAGGAGTTTTGGTCCAATAGTTATTAATATTGTGAACTATGTATGAGATCAGAATATTTTTTAATCCCTAGGAAAAAACAGTATCATTAAAAGAACAGCTATTGATCTTATATTTATGATGATTATGATCTCATATTACTTTCTTGTATGTCTGTTAAGCACAGTTCCTCATATTCAAATAAGCATGCTGCACTGTGTGATGAGAGGTGGAAGTGGAACAAGATGGTAGAAGATATTCTGAGAAGAGAAAAGAGCATGCATAAAAATAAACTATTATGTTGTATTTAGTATAGATAATACAAATGCACTATTATAATCACCCAGCTACTGCACCTTGTAATTCATTTCGAATTGTGCAATGATTTGAAATGTTTAGAAATTCCATTTAGAAATGGAATACAATTTTCAACAATTTTTATGTATGAATCATCAAAAAACATAATCTATGCTGATTTATCCTAGATGGATGGATAAAAATAGAGATTAGGTTAAGAAACAAATGTAAAAAGGGGGGGACACCCCATATATGCTCTAGAAAGCTATTCCAAAGGGTGTCAGACATAACTCTGTAATTTTATCCATTACCTCAAAAGAAAATTTCTCTTATCTCTTTCTGCATGGAAATAATGGGAATTTCCAAATGTTGTTATGATTGCTAGAGTTATCATTAAACTAACAGACTTCACATAATTCTACTTTCTTTCTCTTATTCTTTAATCTCTTTTCTATGCATGATCTATTTATTTCTTCAAAAGGAATTTTCATATTTACTTTTCTCCTTGTTATTTATGTTTCATAAGGAAAAAAGAACTCAGGTAATGACATACACATGTATACATATTCATAATATCAGGATAAAAATAGATGCAACATGATGCAAATCCTTGGGGATTATAACTTCTAAGACATTTGATTCCTAATTGAGATATATTGAAAAATATGAAGACTTTTCAATAAAAAATTGGTGAGATTTTGTACACGGTGTGTATCTAATATCTCAAACAATTTATCTTCTCTTTTACAGTGGAAGCAATGGCCATATCATCAGTTCATACATTTCAATCCTTGGGAAATAACATTTCTAGAAACCTCAACAGAAGACATGACTCAAGGAGCATTAAAGGTATAATCATATGAGAGGGAGGTTTCAAGGTGGTTGCAAACTCCCCTCCATGTTTTCATCTTATGGCAAACACTTTTCCCAGCTTCAAAGAAAAGAAGTCGCTTGAGTATAATTAAACAACGTAAGGTGTTAGTTAGTTAGAGTGTTAGTTTTTTATTCACCCTTTCTTGCTCCTGTAAAGCAGCTGTTATGCCTCTTCTCTTGAGTTTGGGAAAACAGAAATATTTGGAAGCTTAGAAATATTCATTTTTCCCATCCCACTGTCCATCCATCACTGAATTCTTCCTCAGGCATAAACATAAGTCAGATAGACAAAGAAATTATATTTCTGGCTATGGCTGTGGCTGTGTGTGAGTAAGAGGGATTTCAGCTGCGTGTGGGGAGGGGGAGGTCACTAATAGAATATCCCATTTATGATAAAAAAGAAAGCTTCTCATTTATTTATGCATAGTAAAGTCCTAGAAAGAAAAATATACATTAATACATAACCAAATTATTTCAATACTATTTATAAATGACAGTGCATATATGCATATATAATAGCTACAAATTGGGTGCCTTGAATGGAAAACTCACATTGATAGTCTGCACTGCAAACTTTGTTTAAAGCACTAAATACGATATCAAGTCCTCTGTCAATGACAGCAGAAGGTTCCAGGCACTATTTGTTTCATAATCCTGGATCTAGCTGACTCTTTACTTCTTTGCAGATCAAGTTGCCACCAAATGCTGAACTGGAGCGTAAGAGTCAATCCTTGTTTGGTTAACAAATTCCCAGCAACATATACCCCCAAGCCCCCAGGAGTTATAGTGATGTCATATCCGTTGCCCAGGTCTCCACACCTCTCTCCGGCAGTTACTCCCTGTATCTTTTGCTTGGGTCAAAACTTTTGAGGTGGGCTGGCTAGATAGCAGCGGGAGAGAGGGTAAACTAGGGCTCGGGTTGGAGGAGCTTCAGCACCTCGGTCAGCGCCCACTGCAGCCCAACCCACCCCCTTGAGCTCGCGCGGACTCCCTGCTCTGAGAATGCCTGCGGAATGATCGCCCCCCAGGGCGGCTGCCGCTGCTGCCGCTACTGCTACCGCTGCTACTGCTCCCGCTGCTGCTGCTCTTGCTCCTGCTCCAGCCACCGCCTCTGTCTCTACTCTGTTCTGACTGGCAGGCAGAGAGTGCAACTGACGAGGGAAAGGTCTCTGCAGTGAGAGTGGAGTGGCTACAGAAAAGAGAGTAAAGAGAGGGCAAAAACCCAGATCAGAATGCAGGCGACGTCCAACCTACTCAATCTCCTGCTGCTGTCTTTGCTTGCTGGATTAGACCCTTCCAAGGTATGGGCAATATTTAACTCTTGTTTGAAATAAATGTGCAATATGTAACAAACCGACCAAAAATGCAAATAAATATGGGGGGGGGCACGAAAGACAGCCCTCCCAGCTATCTTGAGGTGCCTGTCTTATCCCTACTGCTAAGATAACAAGGTGAACTACCGAAGGAATAGCTCCTCAAGGTAGAGTCCAGGCGAGGAGGGGTTGGGGGAGGGACCAAGAGCGAATATAATGTGTATGGGCAGAGGACTATGCGGCTCTCGGGGGAATTTAGCTTATTCCGTATCCAAGTGCTTAATGCTCTCTTTTGAAGTCGGACGGGTAATGCAAAGGAGTTAGCAGTTGAAACAATGCAGTTTGTAAACATGTATTAGGAGATGGTGCACTGTTTCTTTGTTGAAAGCAGAGAAGCGTTTTCCAGCTGCTCCTGGTCAATAATACTCCCATCGCAGACGTGCTGCGGCTTGTGTCCAAAACATTTAGGATGCTGCTGGTAACACACACAGCCGAGCAGCAGAGCTATACTCTGCCATGGCTGAAAGGCGTTCGTGAAAGGAGCTTGTGTTTATTTGCTTCTTTCTTTTTATTAAGAAAATTAGGAAGCACTGGGGAAGTTCTGATTACCAGTGTTAAGAAACAGGAAGTGAGAACCTGTCAAACTAGGGAGGGAAAGAGGAAGGATGAGTTGTCTCATAGCTGTTGAACTCCGAAAATTATCCAGTACTGGTAATTAAAGTGAACGCTAAGCTCTTTTGATAAAAAGGTAGAAAAATATGGAGAAATATTTTCAGTTGTGTGCGAGAAACGTCTTGACAATAAAGTGAGATAATATGAGAGCTTCAGCATTCTAAGAAAATCACAATGACCTGGAAAATAAGAGATAAAGGCATCTGGTAAAAAGAATAAGAGATACAATTTTTGAAATAATTTTACTTATTTAGCTTGTCAAGAGCACTTGGACAATACAGAAAAAAAAATGATACCATGTTACAAAACCATATAAAGCTGCATTTGAAAATATTGTAAAGTTATTTTTAAAGCTTAACATTATCTGTGTGGTGTAGAAAAATGAAGTTTCTTTTCCTAATTGTATAGAACTAATATGTAACCAAGAATAATCTAGTATTATGGTTGACTGAATATTTCTAGGCTGAATATAGTATACAGTGAAAACTTAGAGTCATATCATATGTATTTGTAGTTATTTCTTTGCAGTTTTCATATTTAGAGAGACCTGATGAGAATAATTTTATTTTAAAGGTACGGTTAGGCTGATATTGTCACTGTGAAATCTCCACCTTAATGATCTTAGTAGAGCATTTTATACACTAAGGGGTAGCTTTACATCCAGGTAAAAAGTGTTGACTTTGTTTTTATATTTTTAATTTTTTTTTCTTTTTGTCTCTGGATTTATAGTGACACATCCTACTGCCACTCTCATTATACTCTATTGGTTACCACTTTTGAACATATGCAATTATATATCTTTTTTGGAATATTCTTGATAAAATAGTTTTTTAAAGCAAAGCCAATTACTGAGTTACTGTAGGAAAAAAAAATCACTTAAAGTGAGATTCATTCTTTAAAATGAATTCAGAAATGTAGAGCTTTACCAGGAACTGCATGTGTGATGTGATTTGTCTGGTATGTTTAGTGTCTGAACACCTTTTTGAATTCTTGAACCCCACTCCTTCCCAAATTAGATATATATAAACAAAAAAGAGCTATTAAATAAAAGAGCTGTTAAATTCACCAATGACCCATTTTAGTTAATATGATCTTTTCTAGTATTAAGAAGTTTATGTCTGTGTATTCAACTATATATAACTTTTCTTTTGATGTAGTGGGGCTGTTTAGTACAAGCAAGCTGAGAAATCCAGGAAAGGAAAACACAAACATGAGCTTTTCAAATTGTCCTTTTCAGATTCTAGATACTGCAATACAGTGTGTAAACAAGAGATGATATTTTGTTCTACACCATATATGACATTATAGAAAATATTAAAAGGTTCAGAGCAAATGATTTTAATGTCTAAAAACTTTTGGGGCTAGTAGACAAAATATTGCTTTAAAAAAGTTAATAAAAGCTACTGTTTTAGCAAGCTGTTATTGATCACCAAACTATAAGTATCCCTCCCAACCAAATCATAAATGGTACCAATGAATTCTCAAAATAATTGTCAATTAGGTTATGAACTAGAAATTTTCACAAATTTTATTTGTTACTGCATGAACTACTTAAGGATTTAGGTAATAAAATTAGCATTCATAATGCAAATTATGTGTGATGAAATTGAAATAAAAATCCAATGATACAGAAATGTATAAGACCACAGTTCTTGGACAATAAGTAATAATTAACTGATGACAGTTAAATATACAGAAATTCTAAACAGTTGATATTTTTTAATATACTAATTTGCTAGAACTGATATATTTCATAATCACATGTTTAAATAAATGCATTCAAATATTCTTCTATATTGTTACACTTTCTTTATAGTAAATATATATGTATAATCACACATGGAGACCCACAAATTGGCAAAATAGGAGAGCTCTTAAGAATAGGTTTCTTTTTTTTTTTTTCAGGTATAGGATTGCCACATGGATCAAATATTAGAAATCGAAACCCTAGTGATCATTGCATATTAATTAATCTAAAAACAATAAGGCTTTCTAATAACAGTGCCAATTCCATTTCATGAAAGACTAGATAATGTTTATGTTCATGATCATTTTTCCTAAGATTGAAACTTCCAGATCTTATATGATGATTTATAAAGTACTTAAGTATCGCCATCTTATGGTAAAATAAGTTACTTGAAAGAGAATTTTATTTTTAAATTAAAAAAAAAAAAATCCCCAAACTTTTATATTTATAGAATGGACTTACTTTCAGCATGTACTCACTTTCTTTTCTCTCATTTGATGTATCAGAAAATTGGCAAAATTAGTATTTTCTTTCAGCAAAGAAAGGCAATTCACCATTAATTAATTATTTGTAATTTTTTATAGACAGGTTATCAATTTTCCTCTCAGAAAATTATGAGAACTATGTTTTCTTAATTAAAATCTTATTAACAAGTTTCTAGTTTCATTTAGAAAAACTTATAGGTATATTACTTTACCTATTTTAAGAGAAATTAATTTTATTTGTAATGGAGTGCCTGAATTACAGGCAATGTGCCAAACCATCAATCATTTAATAAGTAAATTTTTAAAAACCTGAAAGCTTGTAGGAATTCAATTATTGCTTACTTCTATGGAGAAAGGAATATTCCAGTGCTAGAAATTCCTGAGAATGACTGCTAGATGGCATCTCTGTGCTTTTAAACTAAACACACTGAGTTCAGTAATGACCTTGATATTAGGAGAGTGAACCTCTTTTTCTTTTACAAGAAGATTTTTAGCAGACCATTATTCGAACATTATAACAAAATAGTAATTCCTGTGAATCAGAACCATGAATTTCTTTGCTCTGCAGTGCTGAAACAGGAAGAAAGGAAGAAATAAATGTGGCTGTGCAGGTTCTAAACAGAACATTTATACCAGAGTCAGATACTTGGGGAATAGTTAAAAAGCAGTGACATAGGCATAGACACACATTGGGGTGACTGTTGAACTTTAAGGTAGTTGTACCTCTGGGATAAATAGATTGAAAAATGCCCTAGCACACTTAGATGAAGAAAACATTCACTATCTTCTTACCTAGAAATATATTGAAGAACTTATCACCATGCTACTTGCTCACACCACAAACATAATAAAATGTAACAGTGATTCAGCAATTATGTCTAACACCAAACTGTTCTTTCTGTCCAAAACAGCCCAGCTAATTAGAATTCTTGCATTAAATAAGACAGTTGCTTTAAAGCCACATAAAGATGATGGAAAACAAGAGAATTTCAATCATTATATTTTTAATGCTTCATAATGTAATTCACCAGGTATACATGCCTTTGCATTTTGGTATTGCTAAAGAAAATTATTAAGGACCTAAATTGGCTATGGTGGCTTTTGTACATAAACCTGAAGTTCTTGTTCTTTCAACTTTTAAATGAAATTAATAAAAAGCAAAAGCAGCAAGGGAAAAAAGCTGAGATAAATTTGTTGTAAAATTCACTTTAAAAATCTATCTTCTCCTGTATCTCCTATGCCAGACACACCGTCTATACAACAGGACCAACTCAAATTAGCACAGAAAATATAGATCGATGGCATTTGACAAAACCTGTAATCACACACCCATAAACCCTGATACGGTAAAAAGTGAAAAGTTCAACCCAACCCATCCATGTTTTGAAGGAACAAATTACTTTCTTACTCTGATTTTATCCCATTCTCCTTAAACCAATTGAATTCTTATTTTAGAGAAAGTAAATATTCCTTCTCACTCTCTTGGCAATTTGAAAAGGTTAAATTTGTACTATTTTCATTTATTTTTCTTTTAAAATTCTATCCCATGTAATTTTGCAATTACTCTCTTTAAAAATGACTATTGGGATGATTGATAGGTTCCCTGTTGGGACAGAAAGTGGCACAAAAGTGAGAAGCATAGTAGGATGCAGGGTCCTTTATTCTCCACCCCCCTTTTGCCACTATACATATGTGTGTGTGTATGTGTGTGTGTATATATATGTATATGTATATATATATATATGTATATATGCATTGTGTATGTATGTATAGATGTATGTGTGTGTGTGTGTATGTATGTATGTGTGTATGTGTGTATGAGGATGACACTGAGGAAGCTGTGATCTCACCTATAAAATATGAAGCCTACATGTTCTTAAAAGTTCTTTGTTAAACTCTAGGAGACCCCAAGCTATGCTTTGCATGTTTGTGGGTCCCCAGCCCTCCCAACCCCATTCATATATTGAAATTCATATATTAGTACCCAAAGTGAGGGTACTAAGCCCTGAAGCTTTGGGGAGGTAATTAGGTCCTGAAGATGGAGCCTTCACAAATGAGATTTGTACCCTGATATGAGGCCACAG